TTTCCTCTTAAAAGATGGATCTCAGAATAGAATATCACACTCCTTTGTTCAGCAAACATTTGTTGGATGCCTAACGTGTGCCAGGCACTCTGCCAGGCCCAGAGATGAATCCTCCAGAGTACGCCTGAGGAGCACAGAGTCCAGCTGAGGAGACGTTCAAACCAACCTGTGCAAGAAGGTGCGGGGAAATACTCTGATGAAGAAAGCCCCAGGTGCCTGGAAGTACATAACAATTTTGCCTGACACACTCGGCAAGAGAGTTCCAGAAAGGTTTCTTTGAGGAAACATTTTTTAAATATATATTTTTTGTGTGTGTGGTAAATATATAGGTAATAAAACACTTGTTGTTTTGACAATCTTCGCATGTATAGTTCAATGCATCAAATATATACATCATGTGTGTTCAACCATCACCACTAACCATTTGAGGAAGCAACTTTTAAGCTGAGGCTCTATGCTTTGTTTATACAGGGTAGGTTTTTATTAGTTTCTGTGGCAGTCCATCACATTGGTGACACACATTGAGACTGAAATGAGTTAAAATCCTTAAATCTTTTCACATGTTTCTTTTCACTTTGTACTAGATTTTGGACGTAAATACAGAATTTGACATTTATTCCTGTTAGGTTTCCTCTTATTAAGGTTGAAACCTCTGATTCCTGACTCTCCCCTTAAAATGTTTAGGTATTCGCCCATCTAGTATCATTCCAAAATTATTAAACATGCCTTTGAAGTTGTCAACAGGTCATTGAGAAAAGTACCAAACCTGATAAGGTCATAAAGCAGAGTCCATAGATGCCTCTTTTCCAGTTGATATCAGCCCATTAATCAACATTGTGAGGTCACAGTTACTCAACCAGCCACGAACCCACCACAATCTAATCCTAGGGTTTTTAAACTTTTTTCTTTGAGAAATGTAGCCCTCTGTCAAACAGAACCCAAGAGATTCCCAATATATAAGCAGATGAAAGAGGAGCTGCTCCAGGCGAAGCAGGAATAGAGAGAATCTGGTCTGCTAGAGCTCCTTCTCCTCTCCACCACAGCACTCAAAGAACCTTGGTGGAACCATATGGATCCATAAAGTTCCCCCTGAAAATAAGACATCTTGCCACTAAGAATATTGTAGTACGGTGAATTCCTTAAAATGACTCTTCCAGCCAGGGTCTCTGTGACTCCCACAAGATGACTGAATGGGGCTCTGCAAATATGAGGTTCTTGGGCTTACCAAAGGGATTTGATGCTTGTTAATAAGTGTAAATAAGGTACATGGCTCACTTATGGGGGTGCTGCAGAGCAAATAAGGTGTATAGAACCCTAACGTGGGAATGGTCAGTACTGTTATCTCTCTAGGCTTAAAAAGACCCATCCCAGACATGGAAAGGGGGAATCTCGGTACCATCAAGAAAGAAGAACCAGGAGTGGTGTGTCCCCTTGGACCTGAGATCCCTGCACTGAGACAGTGAGAAACAGCAACAGAGAAATGCAGGCAACAGAGGTAGCAGAACTAAACAGCCTAAGACACAGCAGTGGGTTTCCCAGGCCATGGAGCAAGAAAGATGAGCACCTTCAGGCACAAGGCTTGCCGATGGAGTGGGGTGCCTCTCTGGGCACCTATCTACAAACCTAAAAGAGCTTTGTAACATTTGCCCAAGCAGGGCAAAGGCTGAGGCCAAAGAGAAGCATGCCTGTGCTGCAGTTGAGAGGCTGTCCTTATCAAAAAACTGTATCATATGTTTAATTTTCTACTTCCTAGGACATAATTTGGTTAGTCCTAGAAATATGAGCACTACTGGGCAATAAGCTTCTTGGAAGCAGGGACAAATTTTATTCATCTTTATTTCTCAAGAACCTAGCACAACACCTGGTACATGCATAACAGATACAAAATAAATGGTCAAATAACTAGTTTATTTGTTAAAATGTTCTCTTGTTATCTTCTTACCTAGTTTGGACTTCAATTTACTTATACGGAAGAAAATAATGACTTAAGTGTCTCAACTTCCTCCCTATTGTCACTTAACTATGTCCCATTAAAAAACAAACAAAAAAAATCTTTAACTCTCCCACATGGTCTTACACAGCTGAGTCCATGGGGCCCATTCTCCAGGCACCTACATTCTCAGGTCTTTAAAGCATCCCTTGCAATATTGATAACTTCTTTAGTTGTATTTGTGACCAAGGAGGACTGATGAAATACATTATCAACCATGCCTAGATATAAATGCACATTACTCACAAATGATTCACACTGGTCACCTAAAGATACACCAATTTATATATGTATTCTACCATGGTTAAACTGGAAGACAGGAAAGCTAATGATACAAGGAGGTGAGGGACAGAGGAGATAGAGTGCAACAAACGGCCAAAGTAACTTAAGTTTCAAACAAAAAATCAGAGACAAAGAACCATACTATTAATATCTATACAATTTCAATGTTTCAGTATTGTATTCTTTCCTCTAGAGAAAGCTATAGGAGCTCTGGTAGCATAGTGCCACTTGACTGCTTACCAGAAGGCTGGTGGTTCAAACGCACCAGCCACTCCTTGGAAGGAAGGTTGGGCAATCTACTTCCATAGTTATACTGCCTCAGAAACCAAAAGAGGGGTCGCTATGAGTCGGGTCAGACTTGACGGCCCGTAACAAAAATAACAACAGAGAAATCTATGCAATATTTTTCTTAGGAAAAATGTTAAAAGTGGAACTGTTTAATAAATATAAAATTTTGTAAATTTTGAAACTGTAAAACTCATCTTCAGAAAGTATGTATTAATTTATGTTTCTACTAGCAGAACATGTTACTGGCTCCTTCTGATACTTCAAATTATTTAATAAAAAAACTTTGCCAATGTGATTAACAGAGTGGTGCCTCACTTTTTAACCTGCATTTCTCTGATTACTAAATAGGTTTAACATTTTTTCATCTATTTATTCATCATTCATCATTTTTGTGAACTGCTTTTTCATGTCTTTTGCCCAATTTTCTCCTTCAGGCATTCACTTTTCTCATTGATTCATAGAAGTTCTTTATGTACTGAGTTAATATTAATTCAGCTGTCATGTTTGTCATGGGAGCTCTGGTAGCATAGTGCCTAAGGCACTTGACTGCTAACCAGAAGGCTGGCGGTTCAAACCCACCAGCCACTCCTTGGAAGGAAGGTTGGGCAATCCTACTTCCGTAGTGATACTGCCTCGGAAACCCAAGAAGGGGTCGCTATGAGTCGGGGCCGACTCGACGGCAAATAACAACAACAACATGTTTGTCATATCTGTCACAAATATTTATCCAGCTATTTTCATTTTTAATTTTATTTCTGATGACTTTTGACATATAGGAAGTCTGTTTTATTTTCTTTTTTTCCTGTAATCAAACTATGCAACTTTTATAGTTTCTCCCTGTGGTACCATGTTCAGAAAAACTTCCCCAAGTTCAAGATTATATAAGTTTCCTGGTAACCTTATGTTTTAATTTTACATCTCAATGTTTAATTAATTCATTTGGAATTTAGTCAGATGTATGCTATGAAGTCAACATTATACTTATCTTTCTCCAAATGGTTAGCCAGCTGTCCCAACACCACTTACTGAATTCACTTGTCTCTTCTCCACTGATTTGAAAGGCTGCTTTATCATATACTGTACCTCCACTCATGTATTTCTCTCACAGGGATCTAAAACTCAGTATAACCACAACTAAAATTCATTATTTTCCCCTCTCCTCCACTGCTTCCCAACTCTGTGAATGGCTGTTCCACCCACCATGTCTTCATGTCAAGAACTTTGTCATTTCTAACCCCTGCCCCCTCATCATCTTTACACACACACATCAAATTATTAAATTTTGTCAATTCTCTAAAACATATCCATCACTGTCTGTCCATTTCTGCCACTATGGTTATAGTACAAAATGCCATTATATCTTTCCTTCACCCTGAGGAGGCAGGTTACATGCAGCATGGCCCCCAGTTCCTAGAGAACCAGGTGGGCTTCAATAAAACAAATTTCAAACCTCATTTCTTAGAGGAGGTAAGTCACCTAATGTGCTCCGGAATGGGGGTGAAAGTGAGTCTGCAAGTAACTGCCACCAAGTGACCGCCAATGAAAACCCACCTTCCTCAGTTAACATTAGCAGTGATAAAGGAGTAGGTCTTAGATCTTTATTTGCCGTCATATAGAGGACATGGTACTCTGTACGTTAGTTGTCCCCCATAAGAGGCTATCATTTCACACACAGTAGTTCCTAAATTCAAATGATCTGTTTTTGAATTATCATAGCTAAGTCTCAGCACAGAACAACATCAGCCCAGGCCACCTCCAAACAACCAGATGGACAACAGTGTGTCATTCTACTTTCAGCCATCCTCACCAGCCCATGGATGTCTGCTGCTCTGGGGTTCTCTTTGAGGGGTTTCCCAAACATAATTAATCCCAATGTGTACGGTAAATCCAAATGCAGACAGTGTTATAACCTGCTAGTAAGAAGAAGCCTAAGATCACAAATGGAAATGAAAAGGCAAGAAAATGGCCCCCGCTGCATATGCACGTGAGATGGATCAGAACCAGCAGCATCTCTCTCAAACATAGCTTGATGTCGACAGGTACACAGTCCCATCTTCTCCGCAAATATGCCCACAGTAGCCTTATAACCCTAACCTGTTTATAAGCAGAAGAATTTTCTTGCTCAACATAACCCCTCTCTCACAACATATTCAGAAATGCCAGCATCACTTACAGCTGGGGAGTGATGGCACACTATGTTCTATAGTCTCTTCACATGGGGCCTAACACACTAGAAACAGTCACATGCAAAACATGAAGAAGAGAGACACATGCTCCTGAAAATTAAGAGGGTTTGGTTAAAATGGTGGCACTACTACCTATATGTGAAAGCAAAGAAATCAACCCCAAAAAAACTTTAAATGGTAATGACCAACAGAGTTTTACTAATCATGCAGAAAGTCAGGATATAAAATAAAGAACAGAAGGTGTGGTACATTACCCAAAAGCCCTGCTAATGACCGCATGTCCTTCTCCATCAGCCTGTAAATCTCTTCCTCGGAGAAGCGGCCAATGCCATGGCCGTGCATCTCGCGTTTCACAATTCCTTTCGTTATGTGGCACACGACCCACCTCAGCAGGTTACTGAAGGGACCACCACCACTAAGAGAGAGCATCTTCCGGGTCTCATTGAGATTGTCCACCCACTGGCAATAAGCTAACGTCCTGGAATTGTGTGGAAACAAGTTACTACTGTGCATGAGATATATATCACCTAGAGAGTCACTTTTGAAGAATCATTCAGAATTTACTGCACTCTAGAGGATCTAAATAATTCCAACTTTCACAAAGAGCAATCTGCATGGCAGATATTACAACAGGCTCTAGATGGTATTTTGACATAAGGGCCTGTGGGAGAAACCGTAAAATTTCCAGGCAACGATATCATATGTTACAATGCCACCACCCTCTCCCGGTACCCTCCCTCAGATTCCTCCCCATCTCGCAACTCCCAGTGCCATGCCTCTGCTTCCTCTGATGTAACTCCACTGAAAACAAGTAGAACCCCACTTGTAGAAGGCTATTAGTCGGCATAATGAGTACTTATGGGGAAACAGAGAAGGAAGAGATAGTGATTGGGGTGCTGGCATCCTTGATCAAAGTGATGTTACACAGGTATATGCTTTGTGTTCATTAATTAAGCTGCACATTTTTATTTTGTATACTTTGTGTATGTATTTTATATTCCATAATATTAAAAAACAACTTTTTTTTTAGCCTTTTTTGACAAGAGGGTTAGGGAATGGGTATACCTACCCATGTTTATTATTAAGTATATAAATTATAACTATCTTGTAAGTGATTCATTCTCCAGAAAGTCAACTCTCTGCTTCAGTTTGTTCTCAAGGACTCTAAAGAAAATAAATCACCAAAGGAACCTGGTGGAATCATTTTCTTCATCTTGAGGCAAATTCATCTATTCAGGTGGTCCCGTTTAATATGTGTGGACAGTTAAATGGCCATTCACTGGCTGTGTGTTCTGTTGGCCACAATATCCAAGCATTTGCTAATTTTGTTCTCTGAACCTGTGCAACTGGCTGGAATGTTTTTATGGCTAATACTATTGGTAGATAAAAAGTAAAAGGGATTTGAGAAGAGTATAGCAGTGAGAGTCCAGGCATGAGGTATTTTAGCATTTCCACATAATGACTAATAAGGGACATATTGGTGGTCACCTCTTCTGGTGTTGGCTGACATAGTAGTAATGGCCACTTTATGAAAATAAGTTAACAGAGAGAACACAAGGGATAAGAGTGAAATTGCAGCTACAAAGAAATATTTTCCATCACAGGAAAAAAAAAAAGGCAGAAAAAGAAAAAGTCTTTGAAATTTTTATCGTTTTATAGTTCTATTCTTCTGATGTTCTTTCCTTTAAAAATAGAAAATGACAAGAAAAAGAAGAAAATGAAATAGAAACAAAAGACATCTCTAAAATTTTTGAACCACTTCTGATTTTTACTGCAAAGTCCTATAATCAATTTCAACATACTCTCTGTATTATAATCATAACTTTTCTTTGTTAACCTTTTTAAGAATGTCTTTCATATTGTGTTAGGAAAGCTTTATCTCTCCTTATAAGCCTCTCAAAGTATTGAGCAGTCAAGAAATGGGTTTTGCTGAAAACAGAAAAAAGTACATTGCAATTGTAACTAATTAATGCATACAGTCAGAGCACTCAATGGCTCTTTTGATATAAATTATCTCATATTAATTTTTAGTAAGTTCTATATAAACAAGCAAACGAAATGCTTTTCTACTTGTCCTTCTCTTTATACCTGCAGTAAATGAAGTGGCAATTTTCACCTTCCATTAGAATAATTCAGCACTTTTATTCTAATTGTACTAGATCTAAATTTACAATAAAAGTGTTATACCATCCTTGATTATTTGGGAAGACACTGGTCTGAGGATAAAACTAAATTATCCTAAGTTGAGCATGACCAAGTAATAACACCACCCAAGGATCATCTCAAGAGTAGAGGAATGTGCCAGCTCCGACAGGCTGATGTGGGAAAAATAATAATGATAACACTCTTTGTAGACAAATTACACAGGGTTTAAGCATAACTGATGTTGAAGAGTGAGCAGAACTTCACAAAGCAGAGCAGACAGAGAAGGCATATGCATGAACAGCACTGGCTGGTCGTGAACTCTAAGAATTTCAGTAAGGCTGGGTCAAGGACAAGTCAGGATACATAGGAAAATGCTTGTGAGAAAGGAGGAAGAAAACGTGGGAAAGGATCAATCAGGAGCCTGATGCCAAGGGTGTTGAACTTTATTCCAAATGCAAAGGTTAACCACTGAGAGGTTTTAAGCAGACAAGAAACATAATCCAACTTGTGGTGATATAAAGGAAGAGCAGGAAATTGGAGAAACTGAGGGTAGAAAGGCCAGTTAGAAGACTAGGCAAGGAATGATGTACTGAACTAAGGCAATGGCAGAGGGGATGGTGAATAAGGGAATATACAGAAGAAATACTGAGATAGGAAAAATAGGATCTATTGACCCAGGGATATAAAGAACTAGGTATAAGGAAAAACTGGGTATTTTCTCCTACATCAGAGGATGATAATGAGTGGATCACCCACTAGGTTGAGGGGGTGACAATGCCATTAACCAATACTGGAATACACAAGGTGAGACACATTTGGGCAATAGAAGATGTGTTAACCTCCTGCATTTGATGTGCCCATGGAAACCCAAGCGACGATGTCCAAAAAAGTTGAGAACTCAGGAGGTAAATTTAGACTCAAGATACAAAATTGGTAGGTGGCAGCAAGCTGTTGGTAGTTTTAAAACTATGAGAAGAGGTAAGGTCATCTAAAGAAACTTCTAGGAACAATAAAATAGTATTGAAAAGCAAAAAAAAAAAAAAAAGCTTCTAGGGTGAGTAGCTTTGGAGATGCTACAGTTAAGAGCAAGTTAGAGGTTAAGAAACCAAAGCAGGAAGAACCCATTTGTAGAGAAGTTGAGATACCTCTTCTCTGACAGAGAGAGAAGGAGGAGATTTGCAAGGAATGAGGGGCTGCAGAGAAGTTGAGCTCCTGCCTGATTACTTCAATATAAAGCAGAAATGAGGCCATGCGAAGCAGAGGAAAACGTGGCAATGGTTAGAGAGTTTGAGAGAGTAACGGTGGTTTGGAGTAGCAGGTTGGTATGAGAGAGGCAGCTGTGCTTCACAGCTAGACTAAGAGGAGATGTCATTCAAGCAAGTGTAAGTTTCTCTAACTGCATAAGCAGGTCAAATGTAGGCCATAAAAGAAGAAACACTGGGTTAAATTCAGAATTTTGCAGTTGGAGGTAACTTCAGAAATTATTTGGTCTTCCTCTGTTCTCTTTCCTTCCTGCTCCTGATTTCTCTTCCTGTCTTTCCTTCCCTGTACCCAATACTGTAGACTTGTTTCAGGGAAAACAAGCAAATGAGGCCCAGGTGGGTCTTCAATGGTGAAGCCCAGTGAAGTGGTTAAATAGTCAGTGCTGGGAAGGGGAGGCATTCCACTTTCTCTTTTCTTCCACTCTAAACTTTAATACCAAAGGAAATTGAAGAGCTTCATGAATTGCTAAATCAATTGCCACAGGTAGAAGGTAGAAGGTATCATAACATGTTATACACCATTACAGCCAAGAATCCATCTCCTGACACAACCAAGCTTTTAGAAAACTCAGTCCACACAGTGGGATGCTCCAAGCCCCACCACTTCACTGAAACCACTGGTGCCCAAGTCAACAATGACTCACTTGCTGCAAAATTCAAGGAAACTTTTTTTCTACATTTAGCTTCCTTCACCTATCTGCAGCATCTGAAACTATTACACCTCTTTGTTAGAGCTCTTCCTTAGCTTATTTCCCTACTGCTTTTCTTCCCGCCTGGCACATGTCTCCTTCTCAGCCTACCTCACCTCAAGGACTCTTCGTTTTCCTCCCCACCTCTTACATGTTCCAACAATCTTTAGCTCCATTTCTCCTATCTTCTTACTCCACACCCATGGGGTTATCTAACTCACACCCATAATTTTAAGCTAACAACTCCCACATCTCTACCCAGCCCAGACCTCTGTCCTGAGATCCATGGATCCCATGTGGCTAATCCTCAGAAACTACAGACAAACATTTCCAAAACTAGACTCATTGTCTTTACTTTCTTCAAATCTGCTTCACTTCACTGAAGCCAGAATTCTGGGAATTACTCCTCACTGCCCCCTCTCTGCCTGACAGCCAGACTCCCTGTGAATTTACCCTTTTCTCCAACGCCACTAACACTGTAGCTCTGCCCTTCATTATTTTCTCAACTATGAGGACAGCAGCCTCCTACCAGGTCTCCTGACATTCTGTGTAGCTCCCTCAGAAATCTTTTGCCCCAAGAGAACCACTAAGAGCCTCCTAAAACACAAATTTAACTGTATCGTACTGCTTCTTAGAGTCCTTTATTAACACTCCATACTCCTCAACATGGCTGAGCCACGCTAGCCCATGGTCTGACCCCTGTACAGCCTGACCCTTTTCCAGCCCCATTTCCCAACTCACAGAATTACATGCCTTTTCCCATATGCCTCATTCTCGCATCTAACCTTGGTAGATGCTGTTCCTCAGCCTGGACATCCTAATCCTCCCTATTGTCTAAGCCCTTCACTCTCCCCTCGGATTATCCCTAGATTCCATGTGACGCCACCTCCTCTGGGAAGACTTCCCCTCCTCTCTCCAGATGGTGTAGGCTGCCTTTTGTCAGTTCTTCAAACTCTCCTCCAGCACTGACCATTATGAAGGCCTAGTGTCTCCTCTCCAGCCTGTGTGGATAGGAACAGTCTTATTTGTCTTGCTTCCCCAACATCCAGCACACTCCCTTAGTCATTCACTAAGTTTACTGAAAGACTGAATTACTGACTGAATGAATAAAGGCTTTACTTCCGAGCTAGCTACTGTAAGTAGTGTTTCTAAGAGATGACACATATTTAAATAGAAAAATGGGAAGACAAAAGTGTCCACAGAGAATGAAGAGGGGGCTGCCACTGTTCTCTTCTATGCTTCATGGCTCTTCACTCTCCAATGGGAAGAGGCCTCACTACACAAAAAATCATGAATAAGTAACTTGAGAGGATGGGGAGGGCCAATTTGGTAGCATAGTGCCTAAGGCACTTGACTGCTAATCAGAAGGCTGATGGTTCAAACCCACCAGCCACTCCTCGGAAGGAAGATGGGGCAATCTACTTCCGTAGTAATACTGCCTCGGAAACCCAAGGAGGGGTCGCTATGAGTCGGGTCCGACTTGATGGCACATAACAACAACCAAGCAATTAAAATAATCTATCTTCTGAGGGAAGGAGCCCTGGTAGTGCAGTGGTTAAGTGCTTGGCTGCTAACTGAAAGATCGGTAGTTTGAACCCACCAGCTGCTCTGTGGGAGAATGATGTGCCAGTCTGCTTCCGTAAAGATGACAGCCTTGGAAACTCTATGGGGCAGTTCTATTGTGCCCTATAGGGTGACTTGAGTCAGAATCGACTAGATGACACTGAGTTTAGTTTGGGGTTATCATTCTAAGAGCCTATTTCAGGAAGTTAGGATACTCATTTTCCTTATCACAACTGATCCTACAAAATGGAGTCAGAGAGGTTTTTTTTTTGTAAGATTAACTATCTCAGTTGTCAGAACAGAATTAACACCTGCCCAAACATTTTTTAAAAAGGAGCTCAAGAAGACAGACCAACAAAAGCTAACTCCTGATCTTTTAATCACAATAATCCAAGTTACAACCTACCATGATGCCTGGCCCACAGTAGAAATACATTAATTTGTGGAACACCACAGCAGACTACTGCCTGAGGAATGAGTCTTAGCAAGAGACTTCCAAATCATGAGAACACCTTTCACCATGCCATGCCACATCCTTGACATCTTTTGCTTGTTCTCAACATTCTCATTCTCACCAAGTTTCAAGAGTTTCAGATTAGCCCCTCCTCCGAACAGGAGACCTCAATAATAAAATGGAAACACATCAATTGAATTGTAATTGGGGAGAATCTCCTGGCTTTTAGAAAAGAACTGCTTGGGTAAGTCATATTAGTCAACCACTCCGTCCCCACCACTGCCCACTCACCAAAATGACACCAAAAGTCAAATTTAAAATTTAAAATTTAAAAACTATGATCAGCCTAGAAAAAAAATATGAATTTATTGTCTAATACCTATATTGTTATGAGTGAAATATTTTGACTAGATAGTCTCACAGTATTGTTCTGCTCCCTTCCCTATGGGGTTGGAAGACTCTTAAGACACTCCCTATGTCCACAAGGGGTCAATATGCTGCACTGAAGAAGCTATAGTATTTGTTGCTTAAAATCAATTTCATTCCAGTAATTTGACCCTGTGTCTCTCTGACTTCCCTTACACCAGCTTCCCTGCATTGGCTCTAATTTAAGCATTTAGTGGAGCAAAGGGAATATAAAACAGTCTCCTTCATCTTTAGAAACAGCTTCTCTATATAACTGGGACATAAATGTATGGATTTCAAGCACAAAGAAAATCACCTTGTACCTGAGTGGGGCTATCTGAATAAGCCTGAAGCCGACTCAGAATTATGAGGTATTATATAACAATGCTTTCTATAGCCTTTGACTTTCAGAAAAACATGTCTGAAGTGGAATATTTTTAAAGTTTCAGGCCAAAATAAACATACGTGAAAACTCCAGATAGTTAAATCAATTGGATGTGTTTACTGAACTTCCTCTTCCCCTTCTATGAGTATAGACACAGCCTTGGAACTTACTGTGTCACCCAGAGTGATGGTCAGAATTTAACAAGATCTCAGAGGAAGCTCACACTTTTAATGTTTTCCTGTGTAGTGTCGTAGTTGCCTCTGCTGGGCCACATTTTGGGTGGTATCTCTGGATGGAGAGGGAAGGGTATCGAGGGATTCTCCTGAGGCTTTTCCTCCCTGTATGGGAAGCAAGGACATTTTCTTCACTGGGATTTAGCTCTCTCAGGAAAGTCCTAGCAGGGTCTTACAAAAAAGAAACTGGCTAAAAGTCTGACAGCCTTAGAAAACGGAGAAGGGCTTGCTTTTCCTTCTGCTACTTCAGATTTAACAAATTGGGGGAGTTAGGACATTTCCTAATGTTACTTGGAAATTTCCTTTCAATAAAGATCTGTCCTCCCAGCTTTAATATTTTTCCTCAAATTAATCCCTGACTAAATACAAATAGGCATCTGACTATTAACCAGAAGGTTGATGGTTCAAACCCACCAGCCACTCCGCAGAAGGAAGACTGGGCAATCTACTTCCATAAAGGTTTACCGCCTCAGAAACTCAAAGTGGGGTCATTATGAATCAGATCCAACTTGACAGCAGTGAGTTTCATTATTCTGGTTTTGATGGCACAATAGTTAAGTGCTCCAATACTAACCAAAAGGTCAGCAGTTTGAACAAACCAGTATCTTCGTGGGAGAAAAGACCTGGAGATTGATTCCTATAAAGATTAAGCAAAACCCAAACCCACTGCCATCGAGTCAATTTTCACCTCATAGCAACCCTCATTGAGTTTCTGAGGCAGTAAATCTTTATGGATGTAGATTGCCCCATCTTCCTTCCACAGAGCAGCTGGTGGGTTTGAACCAACCTTCTAGTTAGCAATCGAATGCCTTAGGCATTATGCCACCAGAGCTCCTTCCTATAAATGTTACAGCCTAGAAAATACTATGGGGCAGTTCAACTCTGACCTATATATGAGTCAGAATCAACTCAAAAGCACTAAACTACATATGACCCAAGCAACTCCTGAAACACTTGGACATTGGTAGTTTGTAAAATAAAGATTCTTTCCTTCTAGGGCACTGCCTCTCAATTCTCCCTCCTGCCCCTAACCCACAACCACCCTCTCTTCCATCCAGGACTTGCCTCCCATCAAGTACAAGCTCAGAGATGAGGGGAAGGAAACGGAGAGGATGTGAACTTCCACCAGTGAGTAAACACATGTAAAATAACAATGTACACCCAGAGCAAGAAGCAGTGATAGGTGGTACTTTGGAATCTTGCTGAATCAAAGACTTTCTAACTTAAATATACATTTTCTGAACCACTATAGAAATTAAAGACTGGTAACCAAAGTACCAGCTAAAACATGTGGCTTTCAGCTTCTTCTTCAGGCAGCTGACAAAGCAAAAGCACTCAGCATCAGTGGGTGCATCAATCAAACGAGGTAGTGCTGCAGAGGGCAGCATCAACAGAAGACAGAGGTTCAGGGTGGCCCTGCACCGGCTCTTCATTTTCCGCAACCGCTGCAAAGCTGAGATTGAAGCCTGGTGAACAAGACTTTTCCCAGAAGTGAGGCACATTACACAGTCATGGATTTCCATCCACACTGCAATCCTGCACTATTTGAGAAGACAGGCCCAGCAGTTCTCAATCTGTATTATTAGGAGAAGACCCAGGATCACTCTGGGGATACTAAGTCTGTGGTTATTCCCACACAGATCTGTACCTCTGCTTCAGCCCTCTCCTAGTTCCCTCCTTGCTCCCACTCCTTTCACCTCAAAAATGACAGAGGCGGGGAGAAAGTGGTACTTCAGGTAGCCCTGGAATAAAGGGGGCAATAACTGAAATTAGATAGAAGAAAAGAAAAATTAAGGGTCACTTAAAATGAGAGACAGAAGCAGCAAGTTTCCATTAAAGAAAGAGCTGTCTGGATGAAATACCCAGATGGAGAGGAAGAACCTTCTACAATCAACCCCACACCGAGGGGATCTCTTGGTGAGAGGAGTGCAGAAAAAGCTACTGAGCAAGCACCTGACCCAGGAGTAACAGTCAGTGCCAAAAACGTGTGTTTAATTCTTAATTAAACCTTCAGAACAAGATAAAGTTTGCAGAAACAGGAAGAAAACTTTTCTTATCTCTGAGGTGTAGAAAAAGACACTGAAACTCTGGAAAATGGATGAAAGAAAAAAAGTCCACGTGACAATGAGTTTGTAAAGCAAGAGCCATGTCTGCTTAACTTACATGGTGTCACAGCAAGCACAGAGACATGCAGAACAGGGACAATTCATCAAACTTAGAGAATACAAAGTAGGAGTCAGGCCATCAAGGCAAGGACACCACAAAAAGGAATAGCCCATTACTTCTGGAACGCAGAGCTTTAGTTATCTAAAGAAAACTGACAGTAATCTTACAAAGTCACGTACAATTTATTTCACCTAAGAATTCTATCCTGACTTTGTTTCCTATTTATGACTTTAGTTCAGCAGCTTATATTCACAAAAATTCCTGAACCCAATGGGCTGAAGTATCTCTCACATCTCAGTGAGTTCCAGTCCAGATCAGAGGTCAGGTCAGCAAACTATAACCCACAGGCTAAGAATTTTTTACATTTTTAGGTAGTTGAAAAAAATGAAAAGGAGAATAAAATTCCAAATTCAAATTTCAACGTCATAGAGAAACCCAGTATTGGAACATGGTCATGCTTATTCATGCCTATAATGTCTATGGATGCTTTTCTACTACAAAGGCAGAGTTGAGGGGCTGCAAAAGAGACCACATGGTTCACAAAGACTGAAATAGTTATTATATGACTCTGTACAGAAAACGTGAGCCAATCCCTAGTTTAGATACCTAGCAACTTAACAGACCTAACATTGACCCCTTCATATCCCTAACTATTAACATGGAAAATTTTTGGAAAGGTATGAGAAGTGTCTAAAAAATGAAACAAAACTTGGGTTTTACTTGGACAGCTGGGGGGACTCACCAGTAGAAGTGTTCCTCCACCATTTTGGTCACTGCTCTGGAGACAGCTCTTTCATGAGGGCCAAGGTTTTTGTTTAAATTCACTCCAAGTTTCTCTTCCAAAAAATCAATTATGAACTCTGTGCCAGAAACTTTTTCATTATTATATTCAATCCAAGGCATTTTCCCTTGAGCAGACAGTTTTCCACCAAAATAGTTCTAAGCAGAGTGAATTATAAAAAGAGAAAAACCATGTTTTATTTCTATTTCACTGCACAATTTACAGAAACAAACAATGCAACCTTATGTTTGGTATTGACTGTACTTACTATTCAAATGAATGAATCCAACACATACACACTTTAAGAGATTCAATGATTACTTTAGGGAAAAGAGAAAAATTACCTCACAGGAAGATTTTATCTCCTATAGATTTTATTCCCATAAATTTTATGTTGGCTCTAGCTTACTGTAGAATATAGAACCTCTGCCCCTCAGCCCCCCAAGATGAGAGGGTATTAAATGGTAACAGTCTAGTTATAATGTATGAGCAATCCAAAAAGTGAAATTAAATCATAAGAAAGCTTGTACCGACTAGGCTATTGACCAAAGACCTCACTTAATTCAATATTTTCCACTTGGATAAGGCTTAGGACCAAGTGGTCCCAGAAACTTTTAACACTTAGGTGTTTAAAAAGTAACTCACTACAGTCCTGCTGAAAATACAGACTCCTGGGCCCCAGATCAGAATCCTGGGAAAGGGGCCCAGAAATCTGTGCTTTTACAAGTTCTCCTTTAATTCATACACATACTGGAAGTTTACAACATCTTGAAGGACACCGATGGGGAGGCAGGGGCACACACATTTTATGAACACTTAGAATTACAGAGTTGACATTTGCTGCCTACTAAGATCTCAGCCACATTGATGGAGGGGTTTGGTGGTAATGATTCCATTTATACAATCACTTTTCTCAATAAATTTGGATCCCTTAGCTGATTTTTAAATCTAAATCAATTCTCTTCGTGGTCTACACAGCCTAAATTAGTGAGATGATTACAAACTCTTTTTCATACTTCATACGTTAGTTCAGATACTCCTGGGTAATAAAAAGGAGTGGTTATCTCTAGATAGTGGAATGTCAGGTGATTGTTACTTCCGTTTGTACTTTCTGTATTGGTTCAATTTTTTTTTTTTTTTGTATTGCTTCAAATTTTTATATAATCTACATGTCATTTATATGTGATCAGAAAAAAAAAAAAGCTGTACAGCTATTTTTGTTTAAGAAAAAAAAAAATACAAAGAACCTCCCTGAACATTATTTGCAACTTCCTGTGAATCTATAATTACTACAAAAATAAAAGTTAAAAAGAAATGAGCTATCAATATTCATATCTTGATTTTTTTGTTTTTAAAAATAACTGTGTCTGATACATTGGGCTTTTCTTTAAAAAGCCTTGTGAGTTCCTACTAATGGTCATCAAATATTCATTCCAGTCTCACTTAAGTTAAAAAATTAAAAAGTTTCAAGTATAAGAGTATGATTTTAGGAACACGGCATTTTAACCTTTTTTAAAAGGCCCAGGGCAAAGAAAGGGCAAAGGGTAGAACTCCCTGGGTCTAGGACAACACACTTCTCTGCAGACCCGTCCAAAAGCCAAGCTCCTCCAGCATCTCCCTGGTACCACGTACAGCAACACAACCCCTCGCTCCCAGCATAGGGTGCTCAGGGCACCCTGGGAAGACCCAGCGCATCCCTTTCTAAACCACCAAACCATTTCCTTTTACTTAGGATCTCTGACACCTCTTGAATACCCCCTCTATGTATTTTCATAGAGACCTCACAAAAGAAAAACATCCTGGATGATTACTGTTTATAAAACACACTTGTAATAAACAATTATTCTGGAAGGGGTTAAGCTCTCCCCTTCTCAAGCCAGCTGTCATCAAGTCAACTCTGATGCACAGTGACCCCATGTGTGTTAGAGTAGAACTGTGCCCCTTAACATTTTCAATGGCTGTCTTTTCAGAAGTATATTATCAGGCCTGTCTTCCCAAATGTCTCTAGATAGACTTGAACTGCCGTCAAGTGTGTTAATGTTTGCACCACCCAGGGACTCCTCTCCTTCTCTAAGACCTCTATAATAGTTTCAAGCTTCACAGCTAGGAGGGTGCCATGCTGCTCCAATTATACTAACTTAAAGCAGCTCTGGTAGCATAGTGCCTAAGGCACTTGACTGCTAACCAGAAGGTTGGTGGTTCAAACGACACCAGTCACTCCTGAGAAGGAAGGTTGGGCAATCTACTTCCGTAGTGATACTGCCTTGGAAACCCAAGGAGGGGTTACTGTGAGTCGGGTCAGACTCGACAGCACATAACAACAACAAAGGCAGCCACACTGAAACATGAACAAAGGTTGTCAGGCAGCTGGTAAAGACAGGCTGCAGCAATCTGCACTTGATAGCTTGAAGGCAAGAAAGAAGGGCAGACAGCCTGGTAGCTGCTGCAGTCACTGCCAACAGCAGGACTATTTCATCAGTGAGGGGCACGAGAGACACTGGAGAGCACAAAATTCAGGGTTTAGGCCCCTGCTGCCCCAAAGCTGTCATGGCTAAAAAAGGCAATCTGATCAAGAGTGATGATGGAACTGAGACAGGTGAAGTCAGGAAGCAAGCTCTTCCTGCAATGTGAGCCTCTCAGTAGCACATTTCTTCAAGTGCTGCCTGCCAACACCAGGCTGAACAATGATCTTCCAAATCTGATCCAATGCATTTAGATCATTCAAGCGTTGTCTGTTTTTAGTGCTATTTGCTATTTTCTCCTCTGGTGTGGTTTACAACATCCTCCATAATGTCCCTGGTTCTCTCTCTCCACACACCCCTGCACTCCAGTCCCCAATCAAAAGAACTTCTTGCTGTTCCTCAAACCCTGCATGTTCTCCCTGATCCCCTAAACCCAAATCCGGATCCAGTGCCACTCCACCATGTTCTCAAAGGACCTCTGCAATAGCACTCTGCAAAGCCAAGGGATGCATTTGCCTCATCCTTCTCCCAGACAGAAACTGGCTCAGAAGGCACACAGGCCAGGCCATGCGAAGTCAGGAGTCACATACTCAGGCAGTCAAAAGTTTGGCTGGGTGGGGAGGCCTCCCTTCCATCCCCCAGCTGGTCTGTTACAATCTAGAAAGACCACCTCCTCTCAATGCTATTCTTTGAAAGAGCTCAAAGATGAACTCTGAGGAGCCTAAGAGCCATTTGGGGAAGAGGCAGCAAACCAGAGAGACCACAATGGTTTGGGGATGCCTGGGGCTTGCTCTTTTCCTTTGCTTAAACTCTCTCAAAGGACAAATGGGGGCCTAGGCTTTAGGCCTTGCCCAATGCAAATTCCCAGGTAAATGGAAGCTCTCAGACCCAAAAAAGGAGACATTTGAGGAGTATCACCACTAGAAGAGAAGGGCAACAAACTGAATACATATGACATGAAGCAGAATTACCAAGACAAACCCAAAAATGTAAATTAGCATAATATATACATCCTCCAGGGGATAAAAGAAGAGATTAGTAATACAAGTCAACTGGCAATATTAAGAAGAAAAATCATAAAAACTAAAGAGCTTAATAGATGAGATAAACAGCATGATGCATACAGGAAGAGAAGAGAGCAATGCAGCGGAATCTCAGAGAGAGGAATTCTCCCAGAAAGAAGCAGAAAAGAATGAAAGATAAAATTCAAAGAGAGAGAAAATAATAGCGGAAGTGCCAGATAATAAGGAAGAGGGAAGATGGGGGAAGATAAACACTCAAACAAGAAAAGAAACTATATGAAGAAAATTAATTACTCCTCAGAAATAAAAACAGATGGAAGCCCTCAAATTAAGAGTTTATAAAGGACAGAACAGAAGGCATGATGGCTCACACTAAAGCAGATTATAGTGAAATTTAAGATTAAAATCAAATTCTAAAAGCTTCCAGAGAGAAAGAAGAAAAAAGAATCAGATTAACATCCCATTTTTCGACTGAATATATAGATGCAAAAAGCAAATTATGTAATATATTTAAAGCACAGAATGGAAAGAACTTTAAACATCAAATAATCGAATATGAGGGCATAATAAAGATATTGCCAGGCATTGTTTGAGTATAAAATATAAAATGAATGTTAGCAGTAAGTCTTAACAAAACAATAATTACAACAAGTGTAAATGGATTAAACTTACCAATTAAAGGACTCTCAGATTGGCTAAAACTAATGCATTACCATACGAGGCAAACATACAAAACAGCTGAAATACAGAACAGCTGAAAAGCAAAGGGTGGAGAAAGATATCGCAAGCCAATCTGAACCAAAAGAAGCAATCTTAACATCTGACAGCACAGAACTCAAAGATTAAAAGAATCATAAGGGACAAAAAGGAATGTTATATCCTGGAAAAAGAAACAAGAGTAAAAGATATAATCTTTCACATTATACATACTTATCAATATAATCTCAAATATATAAATATTCTTATAGAGAGCAGAAACTGACAAAATAACAGGAAAAAAAGATCAACAGATACACTTGATTATTTTAACACTCCTTTAAGAAACTGCTGGAACAACAGAGAACAAATAACTGGAAATATGTAGAAGGTATAAATAATACATTCAGTATGCTCAAGCAAGCAGATAAAGAAGCACTACAGCTAAACAGAGAATCTGTAATTATTTCTGACATTTATAAAAATTAATGACACAATAGGCTAAAACCTCAGTAAATTCCCAAAAAACAATACCAAAGAGACTAACTTCTCTGGCCATAAAATTAGAAATCACTAACAAAAGTAAAGCCTTAAAAAAAATACCATCTGGCTGGAATCCTATTAAAAAGAAAAGCAGAGGAAATTTTTTAAAATACATAGACCTGAATGACAATGAAATTGCAACCTATCAAATCTGTGAAACACAGGTAAAGCATTACTCAGAAAGGTATTTATACCTTTAGATACAGCTCTCTGTTCACTGCTTAATGCTGCAATGAGCAAATGCCTCCCACGTGTTCAAACAGAACTTGGAGCACTGTGGAAAAGCTCTCACAAAACCTACAAATATCTCACCAATGGCCCACTGAGGCCTCTTCCTCCGGGATTCTTAAGAGAAAATATAAAACTGTCACATGGAAGAGAAGGACACAGGGAAGAGGTAACTACAGGGATGGTGACGAAGTGAGAAGAGAGCTGTTAATTCGTAGGGAATTGCAGTCCATGTCATGCGACAAAATTTGTATGAAGTGCTGTATGCAAAATGAATTTGCTCCGTAAACTTTCACCCAAATCACAATAAAAATTGAGAAAGAAAAAAAAACTGTCAATAAATAAAAACCTAAAGGAAAAACAACAGCAGGAAATGGCACCCCCACCTTCAGTTAACAGCCACCGTGCAGGCCTACCCAGAAGCAACAACTGTGAGGATAGCACAGGACCAGGCAGGGTTTCATTCTGTTGTACATGGGGTCACGAGGAGTCAGAATTGACTGGAGGGCACCTAGCTACAACAGGCCTATCCAGGAGTCCCTGGGTGACACAAACGGTTAAGTGCTCAATGAAGAGCCCAGAGATTGGCAGTTCAAACTCACCCAGAGGCACCTTGGAAGACAGGCCTGGAGATCTACTTCTGAAAGGCCACAGCCTTGAAAACCCTATGGAGCAGTTCTACTATGCACATGGGTCACCAAGGGTCTGCATCAACTCGACAACAACTAACAGCAGTGACAACAGGCCTATCTAAACGATTAACCAAGACATGCTATGTCAGGGGGAAATACCATGGTCCTGAAGCCCTCAAAAGTCTTTTGCAAACAGACTCTGGATCAAGTATTTCCATCTTACTAAGGACTGGGCACTGCCGCTTTCATATTCCACTGCCTTTGACCCCAAGAGCATGCTAGTTCCACTGTGTGAGAATAAATATCCCCTCCTCTAATGGATACTGCTATCATGTGAATAAAACATATTTGCACACGTGTACCTGATAGGGTAAGTCAGCCATCCTTAAATAAGTTTCCATTTTCAAACAGAAAGGAGATAAACTGGGGACACCATTGTTAGGTCTTGCAAACTGATGTAAAATAATAGCATCTTTGGAGTCAATCTCTTGCTGTTTCCTGTCAAAACCAAAAGAGAAATAAGTAACAATCCATGTGTTATATAGCCAGTTCCCTTCGTTTCTAAGGACACCCTGCTTGGCTAGAACTCCTCAATGAACCACCAGATCTGTCTGTCACTGGAGCACATCTCACCCAAAAACACTTGTTAAATGCAAACTTACTCAAAATACAAAAGAATTCCATTTGCAAAGAACATCAACAATAGGAGGAAGAAACAGAATGTGTGGCTAATTGCCTCCATGAACCACTATATGCTTTGTCATGAGACCAAAACCACTGGATAGTGTCCAGCAACTACTGCTGAACATTCTGATCAAAGATTCTAGAGAAGAATCCTGACCAAATGGGAGAAAATTCAGAACAGATTTGCAAATTCTCATAGACACGAGACTTTCTGGAGCCATGCAGGCTTGATGAATCTCCAAAACTACTGCCCAAATAATCTTTAAACCTTAAACCAAAAAATAGCTCCTGGACTCTTAAAACCAAACAGTTTAGTTTAAATAGTAAAAAATGTCTGCCTTGACCACTGTGCTATTTTAAGATCTATCTATATGGGATCAAATAAACAGCAGCAACTTGAAAGATTAAACAGGAAACTTAGGGGAAAGTATGTTAACCAGGGAGGAACAATTTGGAAAAGGAAAGTGAAAATGTAATCAATGTCACTGCAATGTAACACGTTGAGCCTGAATTGGTTCTGTTTCGGTGTATATATCCTCAATAACTAAACGATTAAAAGAAAAACTTTGATACTGCCATGACTACAAGGGCTCCAACAACTAACTACATTTCAGCCTCATATGTTATTTGTAGTCTATGGGTCAGAATAGTATTTTCTGGTGCAAAGATGAACTGGATGGATAAAGATGATATTCTGTGTTTACTATGTATAGATAGAATCTCATTATTCCCCACAACAACCTTATGAGGTAGGAACTGTTGTTACCCATGTTATACAGATGAGGAAACTGAGGCACAGAGGATTAACGTGCCCAAAATCACATTACCAGTAAATAGCAGTACCTGACTGAACCAGGTAGTCAGAACCTACCTTCTTGACTGCTAGACTATACCATAAAATAGTCTATTTATCCAAAAGACCCAGGAGCAACAGGGCAAACGTGCTGTGCCATAACCAAGGTCTGCAAGAAATCCAAAACCAAGTAGTTTGGTCCTTCTTCCAACCTGCTTGTGTCCTCCCGTGGCCTTACATCTGTGGTGACTTCTACCGTCTTTCCTCCCCCATCGCTGCCTTCACAGGGTCCTCACTTTCACCACACGGTATATATCTTACTCTCCTGCCTTTTCCCTGTGTTCTTTCTCAGCCACACAGCCATATTTTCCTCTGGCTACTTTTTTGGGTGGGAAGGACTTCCTTAGGTACCATTTTTCAACAGCCAGCATGTAGTAGAGTGAGAACTGGATTCCAAGTTGGGACAAATCCAAGACCTGCTGCTCACTGACCATGTTACCCTGAACCACCCTCCTTCCCCACCTGCAAGTGAGGACAATACCAATTCTGCAATGTTGATGGGGAGGATTAAATAGGGTAATATCTGTAAATATTTGGTGAGCTATCAAGCAATATGTAAGAGTGGCTGGATTTGTCATCCAAAGAGATGTGGTCTTATGCCCTTAAACTACAAAATCTCATCATTTCATACAGCCTCACTCATCCATTGCTATCTTTCACTCCACTTAAATACTACCTGATCCTCACTCTGCCCACTGACCTTCCTGGGCCTCTGGTTCCCTCATATCATTCCTAGTTTGATCCCACACTAACTTCCACCCAAGCAACAACAAGCTCTGTGTATAATCATCAGACAGATACTCACTTACAGAGCATCTTTATTTAGTAAAACAAACTCTTTTGGAGAAGTTTACCACCTGGATGCCTTTTCAACTTAAAAGTTAAAAATGACTTAGAGAGTTAATAATATCTTGAAAATATTTATCCTCTCAAGTCAAAATTTAAAATTTTTGTTGTTTTCTGGCAATATTCACTATAAAATAAAGGTTTTTCATTCCAATGGTAATGTTTGGGCCATCAGATATCACCAAGTCAAGAACCTGGTTACAACTGTGTTCCTACAGAGCACAACTATTCATTGGACAATTAAACTAACTTATTTTGTCCAGCCAAATAATTAAACTGACAAAGGGATATTTTCATATAAATTTTCCAGGCAAAAAGTAAAGTGACATGAGAGAATGAGTATAAAAGGCCCTACTCCACTGGCCAAGAAGATCTCATTCTAATGGTTAATTTCATACCATAATAAGAATGGGTGCTAGCTCTGTGTCAAGCATACACCAATAACTTTATACACATGGTACATATTAACTTAAATAATTCTGACAGTAATACCAAGTGGGCATTGTTATAGTTTAAATTTAGTATCTCATACCATATTTGTATTTTATAGTAGACAAGGAAACTGAAGCTCAATGATGTTAAATAACTTGTCCACAGAGTATCAATTCAGGATCAAGTTAATCCTCTGTGCCTCAGTTTCCTCATTCTAGTTCCCAAACTCCTAAGCACTTAAACTACCGCAAAATGGGCAATTCCTCAGTTAAATTTATTAACAGTTGACTCAGACCTCTCCAGCCTCAGAGGGCCTTCTGATGAAAGTTTTAATAGCTAATGACAGCCAACTCTTATTGAATGCTCACTCTACATCCAACTCTGTTCTAAACATTTCTCATGTGTTAACTCATTTAATAACTCCATCAAGAAAGTTACTATTATTATCCCCTTCTTAAGATAAGGAAACTAACCTAGAAGTTTACTGTGGTATCCAAGGTTACATGGTTGGCTGAAAGCAGAGCCTAATTTGAACCCAAACAAACTGGCCCCAGAGCTCTCTCTCCACATGTAAGGATCCTCTACTCAGGACCAAAGGCTCTGGGGAGTTGTTTCCTGTTCAGCTATAGTTTGTCAAATTAAACCCACTGGCACTGAGTTCAGACTCACAGCAACCCTATAGGACAGAGTAGAACTGCCTCATAGGGTTTCCAAGGCTATAAATCTTTACGAAATATTGCCTCATCTTTCTCCCATGGAGTAACTGATGAGCTCAAATCTCCAACCTCTGGGTTAGGAGCCAAATGCTTTAACCTCTATATCAGTAGAGCTCCTTGTAGTTTATCAAGGAGTCTTATAATGAGATTTATGTAAGAGAACCCATTTAGAGCATCAAGACTGGCCCTTACTCTCTTGACTAAGGACATCACAGATACCCATGCCCTTGTATGATAACCATGGCTAATGAACTGTTTATGGAGACCTGATGATGACCCCACAGGCTGCTCTGATTCCCTAACTATGTTTTCTAGGACAGGCTGAACTCACGTGCCAAAAGAGCAAATGAGCCACTGGTAATGAAGTTGTTACTTGTCATTCAGTTTACAAATAACTTCCAAATGTCTGTTTGCATTTAAGAGCTACACAGCTAGCTCCACTCCAGGAAAACAAAGTAGAGGGTTAGGACAATATTAATTTTTAAATATTGTGATGGAAAAACCATGCATAAAACCAAAAACACCTACCTTGTTTATATTCACTAATTAAACTTTCTAAATAATTCTCACCTGTCAACTTTACTTTCCACTGTGTAGATACAGCCATAGATTAAGGTTAAGTCTATACAACAGAAAAACCAAATCAGTGGTGAAAAGTGTACAGTTAGCAGGGAATTCAGACACTATAGCCATTTCAAGGTATATTTTACATCCTATATATTTCAGATTTTGGTGGGGTTTCTTTTTGGTTTTTGCTTGCTTGTTTTTTGCTAAAACTACACAGGCGATTGAAACTTAGATTTCATCTTAGCTGGTGGCCTCTATCATGTACTCCAAAGCCTCAGTCTTCCTCAGTGTCTTCCTCCCTCATTTTTCTGCACCCCCAGGATTCATCAACTCCTCCACCCTCCACTATGTACTGTCTTCCCCGAGCAATGCCCTACTCTCTCCATTTCTCTTCTTCTTCTCCTATCAAAACTTATTTCAGAATTGGTAGTTTCTTGGAGGCAGTAACAAAAAAGTACAGATTACACAGATACACATTCCCAGAGTTGAATCTGGATTCTACTACTCTAGGTATGTGTGATCTTGGGCAAATTGCTTGACCTTCTTCAGTCTCAGTTTCCTTATCTGTAAAATAGAAATCATGCCTCCAAGGATAGTTGTGAGGAATAAATGCAGGAACACATGTAAAAGCACTTACATGCATGGTCCTACTGAGTACTCAAAAATGGGTAGCCATTTTTATTACTTGCATAACAGGGTTTTCCAATTCAATTTAACAAATATCTGTCAAAAAACAAAAATGAGTAAACGAAGAGCTTAAAACACCTTAATCCAGTAAGTGTTCTATGCTGAGGCTTAAAGTGCCCTAAATGGGGAAGGAGGTACCTGTGGGCACAGGGCTATCTTTGTAGACAACCACACCTCCCAGGGTGTGGCTTGATCCCAGGTCCTGCTCTGCACTCCCCGGTATTTCTGCAAGGTCATTTAAACCATGTTTTAGGCTCAGTCCCCTAAATCCATGCCTTCACTCCCTCCACAAAGTGGAAAACTGGTGAGAAGCTGCATAGCTTAGCATCCTCCAAAAGCTTTTGACTGGGAAATAACTGAGAATCAACTGGGTTACCAATTAAATTACTGCACAAATGTTTTAGTCATTCTTACAGCTTGAAACTTAACTTGAAACTGAATCCTAAAACTAGCACAAATATAAAACAATCTAGAGAAAGAATTCAATTTAAAAAATGTTTATTCGGTTCAACTAGATTCAAGGCACCCTGCTAGATAAGAGAATCATGTGATACAATTAAAATAAAACACCCTAATTATAGATAAATATAAAAGCCAATACATTTCTCCAGACTTGAAGGAGACCCTCTGAGACTGGAAATATTCAAAACATCTAAAATAGGCTGTCCCAGGCTCTCCTGGATCGAGCAGACTCATTAAAGGTCACCTAACTCTGTCTTTGTTTACAGCCCATTGTGTAGGACTCCTCCACTGAAAAGAGGGAGTGTGGACACAGTTCTCTTTAGAAAATACTGGCCAACAGGAACACTCTGAGCTATTGAAAACTGCTCAGCTTCTGGTAATCTTCCAGTGACTGAGGACTCAAAAGCATGGAAATTTAACCTTAAATTAATTGTATCAACTAGCAAAATGCCCAATACCCTATGGTATTGCCCTACTCAAACAAAGATCTGGTGTCCAGCTGGATTTACCAACAGCAGGGACCTCCATTTTCTCCTACTTCTTAGTCAATTTTGCAAACATTCTGCGGCAGTAGATACAACTGTTTACGGCCCTAGGCCATTCCTGTTATGTCAAACATGCCCATGAGCTAGCCCTGTCTTCGGATCTCCTACACCTAACACAATAATGGCATTCAAACCTGAAGATGGTGATTAGCTCTAAATACTAGATAACCAGACAACCAAGTTAGCACTGCATCAAAACTGCACACCTCACACTAGCCATGCATGCGTCCTTAACAGGGACCCAGAGCTAGCTGGGGCTTTTGTAATCAGTCTTTTGATGTTGTTGACATTTGGGGAGGGACAGTGGAGAACCAGAAGTAAAACATAAGGTTAGTTGTTAATAATATTCCAGCTTTATTACCTATAAACAAGGCATTTCATAAAAGTGGAACTCAGTATTTCTACAGACCTCAATTCTATTGCTGAAAACACACTGCACTTAGAATTTTACTAAAGGTTATTTTGCTAGTAATAACTAGTGACCCTCAGTATTTTTGCTTTTAGCAACGACAGACTGGGAGACAAATGTTTTCCTCTCCCGGTACTAGCTTAATTCTTCTGTTAACTCCAAACTGCCCCTCGCGGACAGATGACCAAGGACTGCCTTTGGGGAAAGGTAAGGGTAGGGCGTTTGGGCATTTGGGCGGCGTGACAAAGGGGCTGGCACAGGTCCCCTTCAAACCAGCCTCGCCCTTGCCAGATGTCCCACTCGGCGCCCCTGCGCGAGGCCCTCTCTCCGGCTCACCTAATGACCAGGAGTTCGTGGAGCAGATACGCAGCTGCGGCCAGCAAAGCTCCCCCAGTCAAGTATAGGGTTTTCTTCCACCAGGGATCGGAGCCCAGCCCTGCCATGATCCCACCGTAATCCTGCAAAGGGAAAGCGATGATGTCCCCATAAAAGGAGAAGGGCTCCTCGGACCCGGCCCACCAGCCGAAGAAGGAGACGCTCTGGTTCCAGCTCAGATCCACCACACACGGCCTGGACGAGGCAAAGCCAACCCCCCAGTGCATGCTGCGCGGCTGGCTGCGGG